CCCCCCCCCCCCCCATTTCCGACAAATATGTCCGCGGGACACCTGTCCGCCCACGTAGCCGCGGTACTCTCCTCGAACACAGCGTGCGTACGTAAAAACGAGTAACAAAGACGCGTAAAGCATAGCTTGCACGTGCGCACACCTAACCTAAAATCGTATATGAAAGAAAAGAGGGGCTGGGCGAAAAGGTACAGAGGGGCAGCAAAGAGAGAGAGCCGCGTTAGCGAATGACCGAACGAACGAGAAGCAGAGAGAGAGAGAGAGAGAGGACACCGGACGTCTATCGTTGATATTGACATTATTATCGTTCACCGAAAAGCGGGACGCGTTGGCTCGTGTGCAGCCGTGGGCTTTTCTATAGAGAATGCGTTTTATCGACCGGAAGCCGGGCGGCGCGCGTTCGCTTGCATGCACGTGCGGCGCGCAAGGTGGTAGCGCGGGTATCGGGAGAATTCGCGGGCGAGGAAGAGGGCGAGAGGATCTCTCTCTCTCTCTTTCTCTTTCTCCTCCGCTTCTCTCACGGACAAAACACGGAGCCTCCGTTCTAGCTTCTGCCAGCGAGCATCCACACCGCGCGCGCGCGCGTCGTTGCGTTAAAAATAAGAGGTACGTTCGCGCTTCCAAAGTTCGGAAGACCGAAGAGGGCGGGAGGGAGGGAGGAAGGAAGGAAAAGCGAGAGAGAGAGAGAGAAAGGGGGGAGATACACAGGAAGTGCAGCGCGACGGAGAGAGAACGATGTCTGGAATAGAAGCGACGTCCTAAACGAGCTAAATTAGACTCCGATAGCAAACACTGCGCGCTCGAATGGCTCGGATCGAGCGGATCGCCTGGCGAATAGTAAATAGTCGCCGTTGAATAAGAAGAGGACGGTGACGTAATTTCGGATCGTCTTGCTTTATTCACGTGGACGTGTCGCGCCCCTCCTCCTCCGTCGTATCGGACTCGCTCCGATGGACTCTCCGTGATCTCCGCGATCGATCGATCTCGGTAGCGCGGATATCGGAGCGCGATATCGAGACATGTTATCGTGTCCCGACGTGACATTTTTCCAACGTTATCTCTCCGTCTTTAGATGAACGAGAGTGAAACAGCCGTACATTCTTACGGGAACTTCATCGAGCCGATCATTCTTAGATTCTCGAACGCGTCTTATCGTCTCTCTCTCTCTCTCGACGTTCTCGTCAATGGATAACAATAAGTCGATTATTCACGTCGATCTCGAGATACTCCCCTCGAGCTTGCAGCTGGAGATTATTTTGCGATAAAAATCGACCGATTGAATCATCAGCGAAGCGCACACACGGGGATTACACGAATTATACGAGAGCGCGCGTTTTTCTCATGCGCAACGTGTAGTCATCCCCGGGCGAGTATCTCGATATGCCAGTGTGTATGTGTGTGTGTGTGTAATCCTAACGGAGAGCCAAAAGGAGGCGACCGTTCTCTGACGTCAACTCCGCGTGTGCTTGACCCGCGTCGTCGCGATTTAATGCATTCGGCGGAGTAATAAACGGAGAGAATGCTCTATCCGGTCGGCCTCGCATTTGCGCCCGCCGGCGACAAACTGTCGTCGCGCTGTGAAACACACACGCCAAGCGTGTACACGCACGCGTTGCAACGACAAAAGCTAGCCCCTCCCCCCTCTCTCATCCCCCTGTCCTCCTCCCGTCGTCGCGTCACATCGCGCTGAAACGGTAAACGCACTCTCGGCAATCGCCATGTGTATGTACGGAGCCGGCGAATGGTAGAGGATGCCCCGTTGCATTAGCATAAAACAACTTCCGGTGTGACGATTCCGTTCTCGCGGTGACCCGCGCCGCGTGTCCGCCGGCGTATAAATCGTCGCATTGTCAGCGGCCGAGCGCGAATCGCCGTTACGCTCCGTGTGTGACCGCTGCCGATCGACGTTTGTCGTCGTCGTCGTGTGTTACATGCGACGAACCTACCCGGCGCATACGGATATGTTCTAAGGCAAGCGAGCAAGGGAGTCGCGCGCGAGGAAACGTCCTCTTTCGCGCGCACGCGTCACACTGTTTCCGCGAACGCGTCATATCGCGCGTCATACCATAATTCTTCCACGATAATTCCCCGATGTTGTTTCTCTTCTTTTCTCGAGGGAGGGGGAGGGTAATTCGCTCGTATCGAGCGAGAGTGTAATAATTGAGAGGAGCCGAGAATTGTCGTCTGAAGCTGACGGCGGTCGTCGAATATTCAGCAGCTCGAATATTAAGCCGGAGTGAAATTCGATTGGAATGAAATTCCACGGGGACGGAGGGGGGGAGGTCTTTTGTAGATGTAGAAGACTAAAAGTAATGTAATGGGATGGTATAAATTATGAAAAGCGTCGGATCAAAGAATGCACGGAAAAGAGGCTTATCGGTGTGGTAGACGATAATGAATGAGCGGCGCGCGTATCGGGCACGATAATCCGATAAGTCGGTCAGCGATTTCTATCTGCCGGAACCTTGAAATTCGACGAATTCAGGTAAAATCGTCCGAGAGTTTGGCGCACGAAAAACATTATTAGGAAATGTATCTTACCGGCCGCGCGCGCGCGTTTCGCAGCTATCATTTTCTATCACTGTAGTGCAAACGGTAGTGATTTCACTCACCGTCGGTTTTATATCTGTATCGCGTTCCCGATCGACGGTTTATCGCTCGTTATCTCGCTTTAAATTGAAATATATCTTTGTAAATTTTAAATGTACCTGCGTGTAATCGGCGCTTGAGGAACAGATGAGGGGTTTGTCTTAAGACGCTGAAGAAATAACGCTTTGAACTTTTTCGGGACATGTGCGTACACAGTCGGCGTTATGTATGTTGTACCATTTCCTATTTCCTAGACGAAGAGTCATGGTTTTCATCTTTATATATAACGCATAAGGTTGAAAATCGCAGAAGTAATGTAAAGTTATATATATATAATGGCTTTACACAAAGAAAAATTATTTTGTTATTGTAGCGAAGCCACATCGTCGCTGCTACATATTCATTGTAACATGTGAAAAAATTGTGTAAATGTTTAAATAAAATGCTTAAATCTGGGGATAATAAAATATTGTAATAGTAAAATAATAATAATAATTCGTTGTAATAGCATAATTGCAATAGTAAAATGTTTAAATATAGTGTAGCACACATAACAGCTGTGCTCTTAAAATATATTCAATTTTTTCTGGTTTTATTCAAACGTCGCTGACGAGGATACAACGAATATTCACCAGGAAATTCTGCAACCAGAAAACGAGGAAATCATCGTATTATCGAACAAGTGTCATATTTATGTTACTTCGCAATTAAATCAGTTTCTTCTGAGGGGAACTCAAATAAATTCATATTCCCGAATAGGTTAATAACAATAATAATACCCTCTCGCGTACGTGATTTCCGCATTTCTTTCGCATGCTTCACCGTGAGGTGATCGCGTTACGGCGATGCTTCATGCGCAGATCAGCCGGCGATTCAGACGGAGCGTCACCACACCTTCGCGAGACTCCGCTTCCGGTATACGTGCGCGCGCTACATCCGGCGACCTTGCGGCCGCCCGCGCGAATCGTCCCCGATATCAGTATCGACCGTTATCGCGGACGCTTTTTTTCGGTATTAGTGGAATAATGTCGCCTCATCTCTCGTCGAGTCGCGGCCGCGTGGCGACTTGTGTGTCGACCGGTATAAATAAACGGCGAGCGGGACAAGTCAATTCATGAATGACTGGCTGGCCGGCGCGACACGCCGCCGCCGCGCGTCACGTATT